ACTGAGTTGATAAAAGTTGTCCAAGCCTTCATTGTCTTACCACTAATGTATAAACAAGGTTAGAATTGACCTAAATTAGTTAGTGGAAATTATAATAATAAATTATAATAATAATAACTTTAATACGAAAATTAACTTACCTTGTATACAGTTGAAGCGAMTAGACTTCCATAGCCGAAGCAAATGAAGATGTAATCACTAAAGACAGAAGAACAGCGCATAAGGCCGGCTGGAGCCCCTAAAAACTTATGATTGCTGTAAGCACCTTATTTCATATTAATTGCACACTTTCACTTTTTAAGCTTGCATTTTGACACACACACATACACACGTTATACACATTATTTCCACAATTATAAAATATTTTCACTAAATTTTCAAGTTTTGTACGCGAAACATTAATTCTAATTGACAAATATTAAAAATTCACTGACACTTCCGTTCGAATTGTCTGCAAGTCGATATGGCAGTGCTGATGTATGSAAAACAACAAGTGGTACATGTATATTAGGGTAGCATGAAATAAAATCGTATGTTCATACTGAAAAGTGTTTAAATTTTCTTATTAACAATATAATGCACATTAATTGATACTTAATAAAACCGTCTTTTTCATTTCATTATTATGAAAAATTTATTTAATTTGTGCATTTGGCGAAAAACAGAAAAAAAACGTTAACTTCGGCTGCACAGGAGCTATAATACCCTTCACACATATGAAAGTGTTCACACAAGAATTTGGTAAGTTTATATCACYAGCTATATGCTATAGCGATCCAATCTAWCAAGTTTTTCTCGGATATGGTACCGTGGTCTGGACAATAATCCATGCCATGGTTCTTGAATATATAATATCATGACAGATACAAAAGTTTTCAATACAAGGACTGAATTTTCAGCGTTCCGTTTATATAGGAGCTGCATATGTACATGCTATCGTGGCTCTAACTAGAAAATTTCTACAGATATTGTAGCGTCGTCTTGGAGAATGATCCATACCGATTTTCGTAAAGATACATATCTCCACGAATGACAAAAATTTCCATACGATTTATTTCATCGTTCAGTTTGCATGACAGCTATATGCTATAGTGATCCGATATCGGTGATTCTGACAAATAAGTAGTTTCTGTAGGAGGAAAAGACAAAATTCACAAAATTTCAAAAACTGAGAAGTGGGTCGAATATACAGACAGACGGTCCAACAGACGTGCATGACTAACCCTATACAAGGTACAAAAATGAGTTTGGCTGAAAACAAAAACAATGCTTAGCTCCTTATGACACACGTCATTACATACTCTCAGCTTTCCACGCATTCGCCGTTATTTTCATTTCCTTTAACAGAATTAATTCATTAACTCCTTTGCAGTCAAATAGTCCGTTTATTTATTTGTAAATAAACAAAGTGCTATTACATGCTAATAATAATATTATTATTTTATAATTTAGCAATTGAATAAGAGGCAGCCAATGAAACCAAACGCGCATTCTACGCTAATGGAAACACACACCTCCGCGCGCTTGCATCGGCAACACTTGCCCACAACAGTGAAAATGGTGGAAGAAGCGATATACGCGCTAAATTCCCGCCGCGGCTTCTCATTACATAGGCTGAAGAAGTACATTAGCGACAAATATCAGCTTGAATTGAATTCACAACGGAATAACTTGATTAGAACGCATCTGCGTGCACAATTGGTCGATGGCACACTCATAAAGGTGTCCGGTAAAGGTTTAACTGGCAGCATGCGGGTAGCAGCGAAAACGAAGAAAAGTGCCACTAGCCACACCATTGCTRCCGAATTGCAACAAAGTGYCGGGGGGAACGGTAGCGCGGATGCGACATTCGTCGCAGCTAAACGCAAGAAAGCTGTTKKCAAAACAAAAAGCGCCAACAAGTCAACAAGTGGTTCGCAAGCAAGGACACCACCGAATATGATAGCGAAACCGTTGTTGATACCAGATGCACCACAACGCAACTCAATGACGGGACACGCACATTTGGAGGCAGGTGGAGGAACGCCTTGCTCTTCCGGCGGGCGCGTGGGACGTAAACGAAAGTTGTTGCCACCAGCACTAGAGTACATTGCGCTATCGCAGGAWTATTGAGTGTGAGTGTGTAGTTACTGGCTAAACTCAAGCGTGGTATTTGGAGTTTAATGGCCGAGTAGCAGAGAAAGAAGTTTATAAAGTTTAAATTAAAAGTTGAAGAAGTGTTATAGGAAGAAATTGTATCCGACTTCGTGCAGTATTACTGTGTAATACTTTTAAGTGAAGTGCTAAGTGTTACAGTGCCTATTAGAACTTCTGTGTAAATATGTAAAATATATGAATTTCATAATTTAGTTAGATTTGAAATTTCTTAGGTTAACATTATTTGTTTTGTTTTAATTTTATTTTGTTGAATTAAGCAGGTCTTATTTAAATGAGATAACACTTGTTTAGTGAACTTTTATTTTTTATATTTATTGGCGTTAATTAATATTACAATTAAATACGCATTTAATACAAAGTACATACATTTTAAATTAAAGTAATATTTCGTTTGTTTGTTTGTTTTGCTTTCCCACAGTTCGGCTAACATTAGGCTACACTATTCGTTTCATATATGTTGTGGAGATTTTACTATTCCCATTAATTTAGAATAATTTCACTAGAAAGTAATATATTTTTTGCTTTTGTGATGAATCTTCTTGCTAATGCTGCATTTAGAAGAAATTAACTGCATACAAACAATACTAAAATATTTTTTTTGTTTTAAATTAATACTTCTTTATATCAGTATGAAAATTATTTCGAAATCGAAGCAGACCAAACATGCTTTGTTTTTGGAATTAACTTACAAGTTTTCACATATAAACTACTGGCCGTATTCCCCAAGAGTATACATCTATTTAGTGTACATATTTCTCACGTGCGTACATTTGACAATGTCCAATGCGCTTGCCAATACACACACTTGTGGCGCGCATAAATATTTCACGTGCAACAAAAACAAAAAAAAACTAACAAACCAAAAAACATTGCATTCCATATCAATTGAATTACAAGTATACGTTTATAAAAACTAAAAAAAAAAAAAAAACATTCTTACACTACGCGTAGTATGTGAAATGGTGGGGAAAAGTATTTGGAATAAACTAAACTAAAAAAAAAAATTCAAATGCATGCCGCATCATGTCAYGAACACAAAGAGCTGCATTTCATCGCCTCCGACATTTCTGCTGCACATTCTACTATAAATTTATTTAAATGTTTGCTTTTTGGAATTCTTTTGTATTGCGTTGTCCAAGCTAACGACAGCTTGGCTTAAGACTGATCTTTGGGTACGCGGCGCTTGCGGGCGGCCTTCGTCGTGGCTTCCTGTAAAGTAAATGTAACGGCCAATAAGTAAAAACAAAAAAAAAAAACAAAAAAAAAAATTAATAAACTAAATAAATTGCTAAAGCCTACTCACCCCAGTGACGGTCTCCTCAGCGTCATCATCTTGTGATTCTTTGCCGCTGTTTGTGCCAGCAGCTGTAGCTGTTGTAGACTCAGCTTTCTTCTCTTCGMTCTCATCTTTAACATCTAAATCAGACTTTTTAGTTTTAGGACTAGATACATTGTTGCTGCTGCTGCTAGCGGCACTGGTGTCGACATCACCGCCTGAAGTGGCCGCATCGTCGTCAGGTTGCACGGCGTCGGTTTTCTTGGCATCAGCATCGGAACCAGACTCCTACAGAATTTGCAGAAAGTTTGTTATACAAAATATAAATAATAGTCACGTTCTGCACATCCAGCACTAGCGTTTGGCATTTACCTTCGAACCGGATCTCTTAAACAAGCGATACAATGTGAGTGAGAGTGGTGTGGCACCAGCTAATACAATTGCTACACGCCAAGCCCAAGAGCTTTCTTTGAAGAATGATACGATTTTATTGAAAAAGGTCTCCTACAAATTGGTGCAACCGTTTACAAATACAACAAGCCACATACAAAGGAAGAAAAAATGAAAAGAGTGTGAAGCAAAATTAAAAAGTAATAAACTATGTACAAAGTTTTTTTTTTTTTTGAGGTTATGAAGCTTACATTAATTATATACGCAACTTATAATACAATTGTTGAGCGTCAATTTTATAATTATTACTACAACAACACTGATTAATACAAAAGCTTAAACTTATGTTGAAAAAAAAAAAACATTTTCTTAACACCTCCTTGGCACGGCCGTATAAATAGAACACGTAGCAGCCAACCGGTATGAGCAAATATGTGAAGTACAAAGCCCACCAACCGGGCTTGTAGTTTATACGCTTCATCAGACGATGCCAAAGCGTTTTCTTTTAAATTTAGAAATGTAACTATTAGTTCTTGTAGAAATATTCACGCTTATAACACATACATGTATCATAAAATGGTGATAAAAAAAATATATTAATTATCACTGCACGCGAAACACACTTACCGACTCCTTATCGATATATTTACGCTTAATATCAAACGTTTTGGCGGCGAAATCTCTGGCCAACTCAATATCGTCAGCRACAATTAAGTTGTCAAACAAAATGCTGTCAGACATCGACCAAAGTTCWAGGCCCACAGCTGACTGTTGACGAAAAACAGTAGATAAGAAAACAATTAATTGATGAGTTGTCAACAAACAAACAAAAASAAAAAAATCATTCATAATGTATATATGTATGTGATTTTAAATAATTGCATTTTGCACTTACGATAGGTGTCATCTTGAATGGTGTGAGATCTTCAAAGTAATCGGGATTGGGTATTTTACGTGCAGCCCATTTGCCTTGATAATTTGGATTGTCGATGAGTGGTGCACGCCATTTGCCTTTGTACTCCTTGTTGGGTATGAGCGGCGCTTTCCATTCACCACAGCCGACGGCCTTTTCACATGCAGGATTATCAATCATTGGTGCTTCCCATTCGCCATCCATTTCGGCGTCCCAATCTTCCGGTTTGACGGCTGTGGGATCTWTTGTGATACAAAAAATTATTGTTAGGGTAGAAAATATAATTTTAATTTACTGAATTTACCAGGTATCATGGCGGGTTCTTCTTCAAGCCAACCATCAGGCATAACAGCTGTAGGATCTGGTATTTGTGGTGGCGCATCGTCATCCCAATCTGCTGGTTTCTTAGCGGTTGGGTCAGGTATCTAATAAGTAGAGGAATATATAGATAATTGAAAGTAAAAAAAAAAAAATAATATGTGCCTACCTTCTCACGTTCATCCCAGTCTTTGGGTTTCTTGTCCTCGGGATCGTCAATTTCACGTGGCGGGTTAACTGGTGGCACGAACTCCGACAGCAACGAACCCTGATTCACCACCTTGTGATCAACGCTTATTTCGAAGCTGTTATCTGGCCGAATCACTAATTGATAGAGATGTGGCAACTTGTCCTTGAATGGCTCCTCCAAGCGATCTCTACATAAATGCAATTTAATAAAGAAAATGTCAATATTGTTTTCATACTTTTATTTTGTTTCACACTTTCATATGCACTTTCACTACATTTTCATTTTTCCTTTGCCTTTATGTTAAAAGTTGGGGGCGTGCACACTCATACAAACGGATGGTACATATTTATAGCATTACACAGGTGCAAATGGCCGCCACGCGGTCACATAAAATGTGATTTAAAAAAAATCAATACAACACTATAATCAGGAGAGCATGTAAACATGTCATTTATACACTTAGCGGTAATAATTAAGCAACATTAATGTTTAGCCTTAATTATTGTTTGTGGTTGCTGTCAAAAATTGTGCTAGCTACACTAACTGTAATTGTTATATTTACGATTTGTGCTCAAAAATCAATAACGTTCTTGTTGCTAAACTTACTTTGGTTTTTTGCAGTGCTTTTCCTCGATACTGCCATTAATTGGATTAACGTGACGAAATATGAAGTGTAATTTAATGTCGCTGCCGCATTTGTCCGGTCCAAACATAATGGTGTATGGCGTCTTGTCGTTGAACTACAAAGCATCAAATAATACATTATACGCAACTGAGGGAAAATATCAAAATGCCAAAATGTTTACCTTCTTGAGGTCTTCTGTATGWATKCCATGTGAAAGTAGCTTGATATATGAGCCGCCACATTCTTGTCCCTCCTGAAAAAGGGAAAAATGAAAAAGTACATGAAATGTGGATGGTCAATTTACTATGCCTACATGATAGGGTGAGGCAAGTGTCATTGTACTGGGTGTATAATTTAATTATATTATACCAGTAACTTTGTGCATGTAACTGAATAGCTGATGCAATGGATTTAGCATTTGATTGACACATACATATGTATGCTTACTAACCTGCATAGTTACTTCGTACTGCACTACGAGTGGTGCGTCGCTCTTAAAGGTGAATGGTTTGTTAAGCTTTGAAGCAATGGCGGCATGTTTCGCCTTCGATTTGAGTACGAGACCAATGTCTTTCTTGGATACGATACGTTGTGGTGCCTCCCACTCCCATATGCCGTCATATTTGGCAATTTCTTCGGCGATATCATCTTTCTTTGCTTCCGATTTGATCCAACGCTTGCGTGACTCGGCGATATCATCAAAGTGATCGGCAAAGTAAAATTTACTCTGATCATAAACGGGGCTTTCGTAGACAATTTCTTCCAGCTCATTGTCATCCTATAGTGGGGGAAAAAAAAATAGTAGCAGTAAGAAACAATAAAGAAATATATTGAATAAAGCGAGGTTAAAGCTTAATTTCATTAACTGAAAGTCGGTGAATTTTCCGTAAATATTATGTTTATAGAAAAATCTTAAACAAATTTCAGTTATAGTTTTATTGCGAGTGACTGTCAAACACTTTACTTGGTACTTCCTGTTTCTTCTATGTTTTTCTTTTTGAACTCAATTGATATAATTTTGTAAATATTTAATCGATATATTTCTATCATTTCTAAATTTTTTATTCATTAGTAAGTTTTCTTTTAACTTTTAACTTAAATATTACTTTTAATTAAAAATAAATAAAATAAAAAGTTAACATGTGTTGCTCCAAAGATAAAATACACTTTACAATTAAATAAGCTTACAAAATTTCCTTAAAGAAACTTGACATTGCAGTTCAGTTTGTATGACAGCCATAAG